AGTTGATGCGCATATGCAGATCACACAAAACATACTTCTTGGTGAAAGCAGCACATTTCTTATCTCCGAAAGACACTAATTTAATCTGGGCACTTGTTCAAGTCACACGTGGCACAAGATGGGTGAGTAGGGTATCATCTCAGTCATTTGCTGTTTCTATCCCAAAACAAGAAACGGGAGGAGAACAGTGGCCAGGTTATAATAAATGGAAGAAAATGGTTCCAATCCATTGGAGTTGTGGGCCTCCTTACAAATAGGATTTCTGGATGCAAAAAGAAAACCTGCTTCAAACAAATAAACAAAGTATTTTCAGACAAAATACTAAAAGCCTAACAATAATGCTAAAAGCCTAACAATAAATCCAAAAGCCTGACAATAAAACCCAACCACACTTTCATGAACCTACACACCATACACAGGACAGAAGCAGCTCATATACTCATGTCAATAAAAGTCACATAAAACAGACTGAGAACTCAGAAGTCTCATATTTTGACTTTCAAAACCTTCTCTCAAGAAACTTGCCTGTAGCAACACCATCATAAGCCCTTACAGCAAGTTCCTTCCCCAACCCAGTTGCTTTTTGAAAGTGAATTCCTTGAAGGCAGAGTACTGGAGATGGAACCTGCTTAAAACTATATTCAACGTTAGATTTCAGCTTCACATTTCCTTCGTTCTCAGGGTGAATCTCAAGGATAGTAACAGTGAGAGCACAGGCAGAAAGTTGCTGGTGCTTCCAGGCAAAGATGTTTTACAGCAACTGTGCTTGGGCACCTTAATAAAGAAATTTCATCAATATAACATGACTTCTTGCACAAGGAGCTACTTCATACCATGAACAAGGGGACTAGATGCTTTCTTAATTTTGCATAAGGGAATTTGAAAACACAGATTAGGAGGGCTGCTGCAACATATGTTATTACACTCATCCTTCAAAGAATGGAAAGAGACAATGTTAGAGAATAGCTGGCCCATAAGATGCAGATGTGAAGCTCCAAAGTCCAGAGCCACAATAAACTCATCTTTTCAGAAACGTCCTTCCTGACTGGTCTCCTCTGACTACAAGGGGACACGGCATTAGTCTTACTCTGGCCACTGCCTTGTACAGATGAATGTTAAGATATTCAAGGAACTTGAAAACTGTAGCTTTTGTTACCTACATTGGTAGATGTGGAGGAAGGATTCACAGAGCCTGCTAGTAAATATAGGCTCCGGCAGGTCTCGGAAATACTGCTTCACCATATCGGCCACATCAAATGCTGACTGCCCTTCATAACATACGTTGTTTGGGTTGGTTTCGTTCATTTCTCTTAAAGACAGGATCCTGGATTTAACACCAGATTTTCGGAACAAGCCAACCTGCAGGTAAAAGAAAATATTAGCCAAAGAGAAGAGTCATCAGGAATCAAACCTCTGACAAATAATTGAGCCTTCACTTTCCTTTTGATAGCTAAGACCCTATGGTAGTGGGATCTGACACCAAAATATTTTTGTATCGTTAGACACAATCCTTCCAGGCAAACCATGACTGATGCCCACAGAACCAGCTATGAAAGGCATACCAATTTTCTTATTCGTTTGCTTGCTATTTACGTACCAGAAATCTAAGAGCAATGAAGAATGATTTTTTTATTTTTTTTTTTTTTAGGGCCCCAGGACAGCTGGTTAAGGGATCAGGAGCACAAATAGTGTTCTCCTCTATCCCACCACCTGCAGGGGATGACGAGGGGATAAATAGGAGGAGCCAGCAAATTAACTCCTGGCTCTGAGGCTGGTGCATCCAGCAGAACTTTGGCTTCTTTGATCATGGGCGGATCTACAGGAAACCAGGCATGCTGGCAACAGGTGGGGATAGCCTAACCCGTAGGGGAAGAAAGACCCTGGGACAAGAATTAGCAGGGCTCATTCATAGGGCTTTAAACTAGGTATGAAGGGGGATAGGGATGAAACCAGGATTACAAAAGTGGTGCCTGGGAGCAGCAAACCAGTGCTTCTGGGTAAAAGTGTCAGCAAGGTCTTGCAGTCTGTCTCAGTGACGGCAGGGGATGGTGGTTTGTGTGGCAGCAGAGACATGAGGGGTAGTGATAATTTGGTAACTACAGAAGTGTGTAAGCATGATCAGGTGCAAATTAAGGCTTGCCCCGCCAAGAAAGTGTCAGGACAATTAGCCCAGCTGAAGTGCATCTACACTAAAGCACGCAGCATGGGGAATAAACAGGAGGAGCTGGAGGTCATTGTACAGCAAGGAAACTATGATATAATTGCCATAACAGAGATGTGGTGGGAAGACACACACACGTGGAGTGCTGTGATTGATGGCTACCAGCCTTTTAAAAGGTATAGGCAAGGAAGGAGAGGTGGGGGAGTGGCCCTCTATGTTAGGCGCAGTTTTGAATGTTTAGAATTTAACAGTGTGAATGATAGTGTTGAGTGTGTATGGATAAGAATTAAGGGGAAGGCCAAAAAGGCAGACATCGTGATGGGAGTTTGTTATAGACCCCCTAATCAGGATGTAGAAACTGATGAAATATTCTATAAGCAGCTGGCAGAGGTCTCACGATCATTTGCCCTTGTCCTCGTGGGGGACTTCAACTTCCCAGATGTCTGCTGGAAATGCTATGCAGCAGAGAGGGAACAGTCCTGGAGGTTCCTGGAGCATGTGGAAGACAGCTTCCTCACACGGCTGGTGAAGGCACCAACTAGGGGAAGTGCCCTACTGGACCTACTGTTTGTTAACAGAGAAGGTCTTGTGGGGGATGTAAAGGTTGGACATCGTCTTGGGCACAATGATCATGAAATAGTAGCATTTTCAATTCTTGGTGAAGCAAGGCAGGGAGCCAGCAGAACTGCCACCTTGGACTTCCAAAGGTCAGACTTTAGCCTGTTAGGAGCATGGTTGATAGTCTTCCTTGGGAGGCAGTTTTGAAGGGCAAAGGCGCCCAGGAAGGCTGGTCTTACTTCAAGCAGGTACTCTGAGAAGCACAGGAGAAGGCCATCCCCATGGCACGAAAAACGAGCCAATGGGGAAGAAGACCAGCCTGGCTAAATAGAG